TATATATATATATGAGATTCCCTTGAAAAAGTATTCACATTTTATCACATTCCAACCAGCTGCAGAGATCTACAGCTCAGATGGGACAATCTATCCACAGGACAACTATAAGTCTTTAAATCTGGTTTCTATGAAAACATGGCAAGAAGAGAGCCAGAAGTCCTGTGTGCAGTTTGTCAATAGACATGTAGGGACACAGTCACAGTAAATGTGGAAGAAAATTAACACGGCACATCTCAAAAACAGCACCCCCACTCTGAAACATGGTGGTGGCAGCATCGTGCTGTGGGGATAGGTTTCTTCAGCAGGGGCAGGAAACCTGGTAGATTGAGGTTCACCTTCAACCAATCAACAACCTGAGACATCCAGTAGATCTACAAAGAAACAGTTTAAATCAAAGCACGTTCAGTAAGTCCAGAACCAAGTGAGAATCTGGGCTGACTTGAACGCTACTGTTCACATACAGTCTCCAGCAATCTGACTGAGCTGCAGCGGCTTTACAGAGAAGAATGGGCAAAAGTTTCAATCGGGAAATGTGTGAAGCAGCTACAGATGAATCTACATGTCTCTATTTAGTTTTAGTTTCTAAAACTTACTTCTTTGACATAACCATATGACATCATACAGAGTGGGACTTGACTCTGGTGTAAAGCTGTGGGTTACAAGCCTCTGGAGCCGGGGAAATGGGCCAGATCTGAGTATTTTGTGGTAAACTCTACATGTCTGTAAATAAATGTTCAAGCCTGAGAACTGAATCGATCTGCTGCGCATAATTTGGTCTGACATTAGAACATGATCTTTCATTCATATAACTGATTCAGGGGGCTGGATATAAATGCACACCACACTTTTCAGGTTATTATTTGCAATTAATAAAAAAACAGGCATCATTTCCTTCCACTTTACAACTGTGAGCTACTTTGTACTGGTCTAAACACTGAAGTTTGTGGTTGGTTTGTGATCAAATGCTGAAAGGTTTACAAACACTTTTCCAAGGCATCTTAAATTCCCAGTCATCAAGACAAATCTTCAAAAGGTTAAATGAATTTTGGATAACGTTTCTCCATTTAACTTCCCCGGTGAAGGATAGGAACAGTTGTTAGTGTGCATCTGAGTGACTTCCTGTGATGAGTGTTCAGACAGGAAGTAACCACTCCCAACCAGCCTATCAGGAGTTACCTTGCTCTACGCAGCAGTGCCACTGATGGAAGTTTCGACCGATGAGAATGAAGCTCCGTGTCGTATCCGGAGGCTGAGTGAAGCTCGGGACGACAGGAAATGGAACAAACACTTCTTCAGAGGGGGGGCAGCTATAAGACACGGGGACAGAGCAGTTCTCAGTCGTAGCGTTCATTTTGTGTCTCATAATGTGTCACATCTCCCACGTGACCTCATCAAAGGCTCACATCATACCGACACTAAGTGTTGAATTTACTCAACAAAATCATGTCAACTGGCACCACTAAGCCTAGTTGAGTAAACTGAGCAAATAATATACATATATATATATATGTATACATATGTGTATATATATATATATACA